TCGCGCAGTAAAATAACTATACGAACAGAATCTCACAGCGTCGATCTATTTCTAGACATGCGCAATAGTCATTGCCAGATATCAATAATGTGAAAATATTTTAATAGTCCGAAATAAAGGAAAATGATGCAAACTGCATCTGTGACAATTCAGAGATATATGTGAAGTCGCACTGGGCCAGTGTGACTTTGCCCAGTCACTCAAACTCAGATTACAATCGAGCTTATATTAAAAGCTTTTAACTGAACTTTCTACCAATAATGTCATAAGATTAACGTGATTGGATATGGATGGATGCAAGTGACAAAAGACAGAAGAAAATAGGGATTTGAGACAATTATGGACGAGTAGTACTTTGCCATATTTTGCCAATTACAAAAGAACAGGAGTAATGATGAAAAGATTTAGAAATTGTATTAGGCTGATAGATTATTAATTTAAATTAATAGGACTCCTATTATAAAGAGGAATTTGTATTTTTGTATGTATTGAAATAACCCAAAACTACTGGCCAGATTTCAAAAATTCTTGCACTATTAAAAAGCTACGTTATCAGTTATACATTGGCTGTATTTATTTTTATTATTTTTTTTAATTTTACAGGACGAAGTTGCGAGCATTAGCTAGTACTGGTACTTTGTACAGGAGCAACAAGCTATCTAACAAAGACTAACAAAATATCAGACAGGATACTACGAATTAAATCGATTCTGGTGTTGTTCCATATTTAGTGTAAATTTTAATCTCTTTGCTATATAAATGTAAATTCCGCGTAATGCGAACATTTAAAGGAAATGACGAACAGAGAGTTTTATCATTTACTGCGCAGTTTAATAAACAAACAGGATGTGGGAAAAACAGTAAAATAACAAACATGGACTTTGGACTTTTATCATACTCGGGTGTATTCTTAACGTGGGTTTTCACTACTGTAGCATACACAAATTCACCGAATATAGATCGATACATAACCTCAAATTGTATTAAAAACACACATTGTCTTAACTATAAAATACTAGCTTCCACCCGAGACTCCGTCCGCGTGGTATTAGTAAATACAAAATAAAGTAACCTATGTGTTCTTCCAGACAATCCTCGAAATTTATGCCAAATTTCATCCAAACCCGTTCAGCCTTTTAGGCTACAAACTCTAACAAACGTCCATCCATCCAAACTTTCACATTTATAACATTAGTAAGATATGACTGATAGTCGGTCCTAGAGACAAATACTGTTAGCTGTATTTAAGCCTACCATGCTTTTTATTAAAAAAAATGCAAATAAATGTATCTTAACTCTATAAAAAAAATATTATTATTTTATTGATATTTGTTTTTTATGTTTATTTATTGATAATTAAAAGAAGATACAAAACGATATTTTAATTCGGTCAAGTTGAGACAAGAGTTTAATGACCTTAACCTCGAATCTTGCAAAATGCGTCGCGGGAAACCCCTAGTAACAAGAATCAAGTTTCTTGAATGACCGCTTATTAGTTACTAAATATAAACCTTTCTAAACTTTTTCTATACTTATAAATTTACTTAAATAAAAGTAAAATTGTCAAAAATTACCTAAATCAGTACAAAAATCCCTGTTTAATAATATCGCCTATTCTATTCTACCTTTCGATGCATTCCTTGACTATTTTTTTTGTTTTATTTATATGTATTTAAAAAAAACATCGAGTTTTGCAAGCAAGTATGGTTATCAGAGATATTTTTGTTATACGAAATGCATATAAACGAACTATATGCGCGGTTTATTTGGAATAAAGCTCAGTCGACGTCCCACGTTCGTTTGGTACGGAGTGTTCGTGCGATTTTTACGTTTTTGATCTGTAGTTTTTATTATGCACGGTGAAATACCAAATCTAACGAGATGCTGTTTTTGTGTACCTCTAAGATATGGCCTTCTGGTATGGTCATATGTCAAATTGGTTAGTACATTTATTTTAATCTCCTTGTATTGTATTTGTACAAAGATGTTTAAATATACAGACGAGGCATAGTGAATAAAAAAAATTAGTAACTACGTCACTTTTTACAAAATCATAACAATCTCCATGTTTTATTATGAAATAAACTTAACGGTAGTACAAAATATAATATAGTTAAACATTTAAATGTTTATTTATAGACACCTTTTGGCATTTAATTTAAATACAATGATTAATAGATAGCGATAGTGATGATTATGTGAAAAATGTTTTTAATAAAGTGTTAACTATGGAATGTCTCCTCTATATATTTGAATCTCTTTGTATTTGTAACAAAATTAATTAAACTTTTAAAAGTTATTTAAATCACGGCAACATAGATATATAAATGTGACTATTTTGTGATGCAATGAATCCAGAATTCATTATTAATAATTTACTACTTGCCCGTGGGTTTATCCACGAGAAATAATTCACTTAGTAACCAGTGTTCTTCCAGATTTCTACATCCGTGTTTTCATCGTGATAAGTTAAGCCGTTTTGGAGATATATAAAAAATAATTGTAACAACTGTAATAACACTTTAATTCCGATAGCTTCCGATTCCCGCCAAAATGGCGCTTATCTTAAAACTCACATTGCCTTTGACAGATGTCATAGGGACGGGCCGTGTATAGCAATGATCTAGTGTTGTACTACTCCGGCGCGGTACCGATTTCTTCCGTAACAAATATCGATCTATCCAAACTTTTGCATTGACGCATGACGAAAACTAGTGAAATCATGACGGAGTCGTCTCCATCCTCGTGGAATTGAAAAAAAATAAAAGTGAATAGCATATGTGTTCTTCCAGATTATCCTCTACATCTATGTCATTGAAATCCGTTCAGCTGTTTGTGCTACAAACTCTAGCAAACATCCATCTAAACTTCGCATTTATAATATTAGTCTGCTTTTGTTTCAGATCGCTACGATAGTAAGTCTAGGAACGATTCTCGTCTGGATTCCCCTGTTAGTGTGGTTTCTAATCCTTGGTCCTGAAGGAATATGTATTATCGCTATATTTGTGCTTGCACTAGTTATACTGTTATTTGATATTATATTTAATATCGCTTTCATTGTCGGCCTGCACAAGGTAAGCATTTATAAAGAATATTAGGTTTCGCCCGCGACTCCATCCGCGTGGTATTAAAAAAACTAAGTAGCCTATGTGTTCTTCTAGACTATCCTCTACATCTATACCAAATTTCATCAGAATCCGTTTAGCCATTTAGGCTACAAACTCTAACAAACATCCATCCATCCATCATCATGAAAAACCAACTCTACTAAATTTGTCAAATCTCAAATACTTTTTTGTTACCCGATAAACACAGGAAGGATTTTCATGTCCTAACCTCTATTAATATATTTCGTGTGGTAACATTCTTTATTCTTGCCCTAAGCATTAGGGTCAGTCGTGTTTTTGGTATAACTTCCAAGTAGTCTATGCTCTTCTAGACTGTTTTACTTCTTTGCCAAATTTCATCAATGGCCGTTAAGTTTTGGAGATACGTAGGTATTCATTTATCCAAACATTCGCATTTAGTATTAACTAGCTTACGCCCGCGATTCCGTTGGCGTGGAATTTAAAAAAAATTATATTAGTGTTTCTCCACACTATATTCTACATCTATGCCAAATTTTGTCGAGATCCGTTTATCCGTTTAGGCTACAAACTCTAACAAACATCCATCCATTCATCCATGTAAATTTTCGCATTTATAATATTAGTAAGATAAGATAGTTATGGTATGTTTTTTTTACAGAAAAATACAACTTTAATAAGAATTTATTGGCGCTTCGGAATCGCGTATACAATTGCATTGATAATATTCTTCATGCTGGTTGGTGGATTTTTAATCTGTGATAATTCTATGAGGGTAGACGAAAAGTTATTAGAGTCAATGGCGATATTCTCGTCTGGTGTTATTGCTGTCTTAAGTAAGTTTTATTCATTTAAGTACATTTAGTTTTAAAGCGGGCGCACGCCTTTGACAAAACTATCGCAAAACAATTGTGCGATTGTCGATTGTTTCGCAGCCAATTCAACTAGTTAGTTGCACAAGTGCGCTCCATATAAGCTCATAGGAATCAAAGCGCGATTACTCAGTTGTGCGATAGTTTAGTCAAACGTGCGCTCTTAACAGTAAACAATTTGATTCTTCAGTTAGATTTGTCAAGGTGTGTGTGGTATTACATAAATCAGGTACCATTTTTGGCGCGTAGCCACCTGGGTAAAACTTCTATGGCGCCCCCTTTTTAG